TTGTTTATAGTATTAAATATGAGGGACCCATGATGGCTGAATATACTCATAGTTGTCCAGTTGTACTAGGAGCAACATAGTTGGACTTTTAACACTTTTTCTTGTTTTCAGTTGGACTAGTATTTAAATAACTAATTATAAGTTGGACAAATGATTATTCTTAATTATTTGGCATATCCAAGGGTTACATAATATTATATTTACCAAATCATTTGTCCAACTTCTTTCACTATGATTTAGGTTATCTTATAGCAAGTATCCCTTATACTAGAAGGGGTTGTTTGTGTGAGAACATCATTTTCCATAGATTTTTTTAAAAGTTGTATTCAAATGTTTAAATTTTCTTTAAAAGTTAATTCTATTATGATTATATTATAGAATTATTCTTTTATTTCTTTTCTTTTTTATAAATATGTTGTTTTATAATACTATCGTAGTTGTACAAGTTGAACCAGTTGAATAGTTAAAGCTAAACTTATGGAACATATTGAAACTTACTTGTAATAGCTGAACTCAGTATATAAACGAATACAAATACAAATTAAAACAAACAGACATGTTCTTAGCTGAACTCAGTTGAACCAGCTGAATTGTTAATGCACAAACGAGACACAGACATGTTCTTAGCTCAACCCAGTTGAACCAGCTGAATTGTTAATGCACATGCGAGAAATACAGGTAAAACACAGAAACGCAAGTTAACCATTCTCATCATTGGGAGGGGGCTGCAACCAACTCTCCAAGTTAATGCCCGGCCGAGCCTTGTTTTGGGTCCTCTTTCGTCGCTTTTCCCCGGTGGATGGAAATCGGGTTTCTTGATTTCTACCTTTCTTTGGTTTGTAATCCGGCGGTTTTGCGATCTTCTCCTCGTAGTCAGCTGGGAAAGTCCATTGAGACTCATGCGGCACAACGTAAATTGTTTTGTAATATGCCAATGCCCACGTCTCGATCAAGTAATATTTCGAACAAAGACCATATATGCTTACATCCGTTGTTCTCCATTCATTCCGACAATGCTTAATGGCTGCGGCTATACCATGGATGCAAGGGTACTTGTCTATATCAAAACACCTACAAGTACAAGATTTCATATCCAAGTCCACCAAATATGTTAAACCATCAACTCCAATTACGCTATATTCGCGTCGGTAGCTGTTAAGCTCAGTGACCGTCAACTTCGCAGCTATAGGACATCGGATATGTAATATATTCTCCACAACAGGCACCACTTGCGTTGTGTTCGATGCATTGGCAGAATCTTTTCGATGTTTGTTGAACCATTCAGAAAACTTCTCCAATATCGCATCAATCATCGGTAAAAGATGGTACTTCCTTACTTCCCTAAACACAGCATTCATTGACTCTGCGGAGTTGCTAGTATCTATGTTGTACTTGTCTCCCTCAGCATGACTCCTAGCCCATTGTTCAACCCCAATGGAATTATCCAAATATTCAGCAGCTCTAGGATACCTTCTCCTAAAATCACCATACTGAATGTTGAACTCTGTCTTAGTATATACATGAGCGCATTCCTTGAATTTATCAACCCCTACGTCCTTGTCCCCAGTCAACTTTGGCCAAAGGTTTTGGGACAAATGCCATATACAATGACCATGTGATGCGTTTGGAAACACATCCATCACTCCCTTGATGATGCTTTGATGTCTGTCGCTTATGAAAACCAAACCATCTTCATCCGGTACTACCTTTCTCAACATTCTAAAAAACCAATTCCAACGAGCATGATTCTCACTATCAATTACACCAAACGCAATGGGGTAATGGTGACGATTAGGATCCTGAGCTGTTGCAATAACTAACATCCCACCATATACAGTTTTCAGAAAAGTTGCATCAATCACTAACACTTTCCTCATTGCCTTAAACCCTTCAATGCTTGCTCCTAAAGCGATAAATAAGTACTTGAACCTCTCTTCCGCATCCAATTCCACTTCCGTTACTGTCCCAGGATTCACCTCTCTCAACATGTGGAGATAAGCATACAACATTGTGTAGCAAACTTCAGGGTTCCCACGCATATCACTAACATGTTATTTTTTCCCTCTCAAGGCGGTGGAGTAGGAACAATCCAAACCAAGTCTTCCTTTAACAAGAGTCATGATGGTTTTAGGATCCAGTGTTTTCAATTGACCACGAAAGTCCTCATGCAAAACACTTGCTACTAATCGTGGTGTGCCTTTTTGTTTAAAATAGCTAGTACTCTCCTCACACCTAGAGCATGTATGCATGTTTTTGTGAACTCTTACACTCCAAAAATCAGATTTCTTTATTCTAGCAACTCTTAAATATCATTCACAACCCATGGAAGCTTGACTGCATTCAATCATAAGTCGCACCGGGTCCGACTTCACACATCTCACACCAAACAACTCGGCCTTTGCAGCTCTATTAACCAAATCCCATACTGCCTCCTTAGAAGGAAATTCTTGATCTTTTTCCAATTCCAAACCATCTTCCCATTCTTTAACTGTTTCCTCACTTGGTTGTACAGTCCGCGAAAGCTCAACATATTCATGCCTAACATCATTCTCACAATCTTCATTTACACCATTCTCTATCATGAGCTGTTCAATAATCGGTTCATTAACTATAGCAGGCTCTTTCTCTTGTTCTGATCCTTCCCCCCATCTAAACGTACTCAAGTTTGCTTGATTATTTACATCATCAGTCCTTACATCATCAGTCCTTATATCATCAGTCCTTACATCATTGGCAGCCACTTCCCCATAATTCAAACCGCATGAACTTCTTCTCTCTACTCTTGGTACTAGCTCCACCATCTGATTACTTTCAAGATTGCATAACTCCTCATGCAAAACTGGTCTAAATCCCTCTTTATCCAATGATGTTAAGAATATACAAACATCCTCATCATCTAAAATATAAGACTCTCTCCTTCCTTTACATATCATGTAACTCAATTTCATCTTCCTTCTCGCTCCGTCTATAGCAATCTTCTTACAGATCTTATCTACCAACACCGGATATGTTATTCTCTCCAAAGATGTTGTCTTAAACATTATAGCATATACTGAATTGTTGCAATTCCACTCATGCTCTTCTGAATAGTACCCTCCATAGTCAAAATATATGTTTGTGTGGATCTTCTTCTTCATCGCACTGCAGATAGAACAAAATAAATCACTAATTTCGATACAACACTTGTAACAGTTATACCAATTGTACCAGTCGAACTACACTATCATATATGTACCAGTTGTATTATTCAATTTCAGTTATACCACGACCTTCTACAACTAACGATACAAAGGAGGAGCTACATTCTAATTTCCCTCGGATTCAACACGATTGAACTCATAAATCCTACTATCTAGAGATTTCTACACCTACTATTGCCAAACTCTACCATTGCAAATACCTAAACAAACAAATTTCTAAACACTTACTTGGTTCAATCAAGATCCAACAATGGAGGAGAAGAAAGAAGGTCCTACGACGGAGTTCCGTCGAAATGGATGAGTCGACGGCGAGGCTAAGAGGAGGAGCGGGAGTAGACGAAACAAATGACGAGCTCTTAAACTCGATCCAACAATGAAGCTCCAAAACCGGCGCC